TCTCCTCTCTCTCTCTCTCTCATCTTTCTCTCCTCTCTCTCTCTCTCATCTTTCTCTCCTCTCTCTCTCTCTCTCTCTCTCATCTTTCTCTCTCTCTCTCTCTCTCTCTCTCGTCTTTCCCTCTCTCTTTTCTCTCTTCTCTCGCAGGAGGATCCGGGCAAAGAGCCACATATAAAGGACTCTTCACCCTGCCTCCAAAAAGAGCGCCGTGTTTTTTTCCTACCTCGTTGCCCTCCATTTTCCCATTCTGGAGCGCTAGCTTTCGCCCCCCCCCCTTGACCTTAAGTAATATTATATGTAATATTGTATGCAATATGCCATTTAATTAAGATATATTCTATATATTGATGGATTGATTTATTATTATATATAATATATTGCGATAATTTTTCGTAATTTACATATTCTATATTAATATATATTTTTTAAATATATATAGTTAAATTTATTGTATAATAACATTAAATTATATATTATAGATATATATTATTATAGAATTATCGTCTAAATTTTTGAAAGCAAAATATATATAATAATTATATAATTGAAAAAATGATTTAATAATGATATATTTTATTGTTTTTATGATGTGGTGAAATATGAAATGAAAAAGATGTGTATATATATAATTGTAATATATCGGGACGTGGTCTTTGAAAAAGTTTTTTTTTTGTGTTTGTGGTTGGAAAATTTGTTTATTTATGAATATCTAAGATAGAGGGCATGATTTATGCCTCTCCTTAGAATTTCGAGAATTTCCGTATTAATATGTATTCCTTTAACGCCGCATTGAAGCATGGTATTTTAAGAATCTATTCACCATCGCGCTTTGTTCGTTTTATTCGCATATTTGCATTCAAATGTGAAGTAATACAATGCATTGAATTGCAAGAAAATATGCGTTGTTATCTGGACCCATATTAAGGTAATTTTATCGATTTTCTCCGCTTCGAGTGGAATGATTATGATATGGACCCCCGTATAACGTGGTAGCAGGGGGGTGATCACCTTGACGATGACCCCATAGAGGGATATTGTCGTGCAATATATTTCCACTCCGGAACGCAATTGTTTGCAGATGATTTTGTTTGGCCTGAACGCCAGTCCAGAATTGATGAATTTTGTCGGAAGATCTATCTTCTTTGGTTGATTCCGGTTGATAAATGCAATGTCCTGTGGCGACGATTTTTACCGCCACTCGAATTTATGCCCATATCTGCCATAGCATACCATCTTGCAAGCTAGTCTTTGGTCTTTTCACCAAGCAATTTGATCTTGCGCAGATTGAGGCCACAGCTGTTCCCAGAAACAGCCAGGAATTTTCGCTTAGGTGCTTCTCCCGCGGCCCAACATGCGCAATTTGATGTTTACCGAACGATGAATGAATGAATTATCATAGTATATATTCTAAATATTGGAAAATATATATCGATTATCGTATTTGTAGTATTTTCATATATACATATATTTTTTAATCGATATACAATATTAAATGTATATATTGAAGAATATATATATAGATAATTGATGGAATTATATTATAGTAATATTCATTATTATTTTTTTTCAATATAGAATTCATTATTGTTTAAATGTGATAATAATATTTTCCGAATATATCGATATTTATGTGAAATATTATTTATAAATTGAAATATGTTATAAAATATAAGATATTTTTTTTTTCATTTTTGATATATATATAATATATAGATTGATATCCAAATTATAAATCATAATAATATATATTTATATTAAATTGATTAATTAGGGAAAAAATGTATATATAAAATTGAAATAATGTTAATTTATTAATGAATGTTAATTCTAAATATATATTGATGTATTTAGTTGAAATTTAGTAAAAATGTATTATATGAAAATATATCTAAATTGTCCTTTATATATATGGATTATTTATATTGAAATTAATATATATATATATGTATATTGTATATATTGTTGAAAAAAAAAATCATGGTTCAAAATAAATTGAAATTTTAATATTGAATGAAATTAATTTATAGAAAATATATATATAATTGATGATATCATTCCAAAAAAAGAATATGAATATAATTAACGATAAATTCTGATATATATTATTAATGATTTGAATTTAGATTATGAAATATTATCGATTATTTTAATTATAATATTGCAATTGATTTTAAAAAATAATTGATTACATATTATTATAATTATATAAATATATATATTAAATTAATATTATATTTATAATCTATTTTTTATGTAAATATCTATATATAGATTAAAATAAATATTTGCAAAAAAAATAGATATACGTGACAAAGGTTTTTGATGATAACACGAATTTTATATTTATATGTGGCAGCGCCGCCCTGCAATGATATCAATAGGCAGGCTCCAAAATTCAAATAGTCAGAGATATTTGGCAGCAGCAACCTGCAACGA